CTGTGCATGTACATGAAAGACCAGTGATTTATTTAGATAGATCAGGAAATAGGTTCAATAGAGGACCTGCACAAGGATAAATCATGGCTAGACCACCACCCAAAAGCAAGAAATCTGACTATTGAAAAAAATGGACCTAAAAACACAAGCATTGGTAAATGTAAAAAAAATGTCCTCACACATATATGATGACAGTCTATATTGCAGAGCATTTTGTTAGGGATAAAAACCAATAATAGATAAGTAAGCAGCACATTCAGGTAGAGAGTAGCCCTTTTCGATTTTTGAATATGTTGTGGTATAGTCCTCTCTTCAACTATAGATCAGTAAGCAGCACATTCAGCTAGAGAGTAGCCCTTTTCGATTTTTCAATATGGTGTGGTATACTCCTCTCTTCAACTATAGATCAAATAAACCATTGAACAAGCACACCAAGCAAAAACCAGTTCGATAGATCAAGAACAATCAGATCCAATAGCTGAGCTAACCCAAGCAAAAAAAGCAAGCACCATTGTTGACCTAAAAACCATTGCACACAAATAACAATAACAAATTGTCCTAATGCTCAGGCTGCTACACCATGGCGCGCAGCATGGGACGTAGCTACCTCGCTCAACCCAACACGACAAACATAAACACGACCAATCTCTAACGCTATGACCTCCTCACACTAGAAGATTTTATCAATCAAGCAAATCGACACCACATCATCTAGCAGCATAGGCAAAGCAGAACAACACAAACTACACTACAGTTTGCTTGGTAAAATAAAGCATCCAAAATTTGGCTTGGCTAGATTAAGCACTTAAGCAACAAGCAGCATAAATGTCTCCCCACCATTCTCTGCGGCCAAACGCCCTCAACTGCAAGCGTTGGTGCAGTACGGCAGAGAAGGGGGTTGCCCAGTTATTCTCACCACCATTTAGAATTTTAGGGGAGTGATGATATCAGTTTAGTCAGAAAACATTCATACAGGACACAAGCAACATATATAAAGATTTAAAAAAACAATTTCTGCTTCACGGCGTACTTTGATAGCCGACATAGCAAAGTGAACAATGACAATTATCTCATACTCTACCGCAGCGGTTCAAGCAGGATAGAAACAACAAACAATCAAGTAAATACAATTTCTACTCCTGGACATCGAGTGCTCCACTCAGCCACTGACACACCTCTCCATCTCCACCAATCATCCGGTCAATACCACTAAAAAATCAGCACAGCTCTGCACCACTCGGTCTGTATCCTTTGCTTCCCAGTTCTACTGGTGCCATGACCTGATCGCCACTACTAACCTTGTGCCCGCTCGCAGACGGGAAGATACCGGCACTTCGGAGGCCAAGGCTCACCCGAATGCCGGCAAGCATGTGCTCTAGCAGCAGCACATGTCCAAGCACGAGCAGATTTTTGCTTAAAAAGCACGAGCAGATTTCTTCACCATAAAAATAGAAGGAATGCACAAAAATAGAACAGAAATCATCATCTCCATGGCTATATAACAAAAACCATTAAATTATAAAAGTATGAAAACTAGTATAAAACTATTTCTAAAATTTAATCCATCTATTAGTGCTAGGTTTGGAGTTATTTGTATCTCAATTGTAGTTGTTCCTAGTGCTCGATCTCTCGCAGAGTAGTCCATAACAAAAAAGGGTTTGGCTACTAAAAAATCTTCAAAAGATGACATAATCACATTTTTAGATTCCATGAAAATATTCTGCACTCAAATTTAAAAATTTGGGCACACAAATTAAGAAGCACTGATAATTGTTTAGAACAAATCTTGCAATTAAGTGCACGCAGATCTAGTTGCAAAAATATTACTGAAGTTGAAAGGAGGCATTCCTATCTTCAGCATTTGAACCACAATGTAGCATTGTGCTAGACTAATCAACAATAATCATGCCATGACAATATCATTGATCTGAGCGTCAAGACAAGAGTCTGAAATATAAAGAAGCAATCACAATTCCATGATAGTTTGTTTGATATTGCAACACGAGGAATGACAGAAATAACAATGGTTGTTTGCACTCAGCAATTGAAGTAGTATGCAGGTTCAGAGAAGCAGTATGTGTGATTTCAACAACTGCTCAGTAGTCAGTACTCACTCTAAATATTGCAATCAACAATTATCTCACTCTGAATATTGCAACTAGCATCTAACAAACTCTGAACAATGGAATCAGTAGCTAAGCAACTGCAGTAGATGAAGAAAGTAACTCTAGGTAAGCAAGCAATTGTGGCAAAAGTTAATGGCAAAAACAAGTAAGAGATCTGCCTTTTCAAATTGAGAGCAAACGTTGAGCCAAAAAAACTGTTGTTGACAGTCAAATTGCATACACTCAGAGACTCAGAGATGAAGAAGCAACTACAAACAAGCAAGCAAACTGTAGCAAAAGCCTTGCTCTATTAATGGCCGACCGAGAGATCTCTTGCTCAATTAGGCATGATGGCTACTGCAGCTTAAGCAAATTGGAATTTAGAGGCAACCAAACCATGGTGGCACTGACACACCTGTGCCTCCTCCGCACACATAAACACAAACAAATAAAAAAATAAACAGCAACACTCTTGCTTCAACTAATAAGCATGTTCCGGGCAGAACTACAAGCTCTTCAGTACTCTGAAAAACTACTCAGCCTACAAGACTGCACTCCCCAACACTTCTAGTCTCTCCCCTCACCAAGACTTAGTAGCTAGCCTTAGTAATGCACCCCATAGTTGTCTTGTTTTCTTTGACCCGAACATACAGCAAGGGAGACCCCCACTGTAAGAGTTTTTTATTATTTTTCAGAAAAGGAAAAAAACAGTTTGATTAGACCTAGAAATTTCAGAATAATTTGTTCAGAATATTTAATCATGCAACTCAGATCATTTTTTGATTACGCAACTCACATTATTCTATTTCAAATTATTCTATTTCAGAATATTTAATTTCAGATAATCAGTGAGTTACATGATGCCAAAAATGATCACCAGATTTACAGAACCAAGAATGTTGGACAAAAATTCATTAACAAGGAGGATTCCAGAACAACATTTACAGTAACACGTTGGTACATGATCAAACCTTGCAAGATAGAATGAACTGTGGCTAGGTGCTCTAACTTCAATCACTAGCTCTAACTAAAAAACATTAGCCATTCCATATAGTAATATGTTGAGAGCAAACCTACAAGCACTAACTGTAACTGAAAAAAAGAATTGTGGTTGTGGTTCAATACAGTAACACAAAAGGCATTTTCAGCAACAATAGAACTAATCCGCCAAACTTCATGAGCATGATTGCTCTAGCTGTCTAGTAGCAGCTAAACAAGATATACAGAATACGAACCCATGCGCAAACCATCAGATGAAGACAGATTCTGACCGCAAATCGGGTACTAAACAAGCGGAACCACTCCAAGTGCATAACCGCAGCAACATTGATGCCCACATCGGCGCGACACACAGACAGACAGCGAGAGAATCGTAGCTTACCCGTTTTGGTTCGCCGTTTTTCTCACTGATGGTGGCGGAGATGATATGGCCCGTAACAGCGTCTACCCCTTCCCACTCCTTACTCTGCAACAAACACGGAAAGAAAAAAAAATAGAGCACCATTAGCGACAACGTTCGCAGAGGGAGCAGATCGGGTGGCCCCCAGCCGTGACTGCCACAGCAGATTGGTGCCCATCCCCAGATCTAGGACACCAGCTGACCTTATCGCTGCAGGCGGTGTGGACCGCCGCCAAGGCATCGGGAGGGGGGCGTGTCTAGCTCCATGGGCTCCGATTCATACAAGCAACCGAAACCGAAAACCTAGAACAAAATCACACTGAAGTCACTAATGGTTCTCGATCTCTGGGAATGGGGACAAATTAAAGCACCACACCTGGAATCCTGGAGGGGTGGGGGCATCTGCAGAGTGGGGGGCACCTAGGCCGGTGGCCGCCTTGTCGGTTCATTGGGCGGCGAGCGGGGCTGCGGCCGGCAGGCCGGTACGTCGGACGCGGGAGCGCCGACCAGCCGCACAGGAAGAGGACTGCGGAGGGCCGACCAGCCGAAGGCAGGACCGTAGGAGGGCGCGGAGGCAGAGAGGTCGCCATCGGGTGTTGGCCGTCGCGACTCGCGCGGACTCCAGTCGCGCGGTCGCGGTCTCCCCGTCTCTGTCTCCCTCCAGTCCCCGCGTCGAGTGGTGTAGGGTGTTAGCGGGTGCGGCCCCGGACCCAATAAGAAACATCGTACCCAACAACAGCCAAACCAGACGCACGCATCTTGAAGCCAATCCAACGGACAGAAACATCGCCTGAGAGGGAGCCCAGAATTCAGGCGACTGGGGAATAAGAAAAGTGAAATATATTCTATGACTAATCTAATTGTACTTATTTTGTATAAAAATGTTAATACTTTTTTATATAAATATCCTGTCATAGCTCAAACTGTTTGACTTCTTGAAAAGCGAGAATTGCATTTTTATGTGGACGGAGGAAGTATATTTTGCTCACAAAAGTAACAAGCCTGGCAATCTTCATAGGGAAGAAAGGATTTAAATACCAAACTTAAAGGCTGCCTCCTTCCCTCGCAAGGAGGACATTTTTGCTACCCAGGCTATGTTTAGTTCGTGAATTTTAGGAATTTGGTTATTGTAGCACTTTTCGTTTTTATTTGGCAATTAGTGTTCAATCACGGACTAATTAGGCTCAAAACGTTCGTCTCGCAATTTTCCAACCAAACTGTGCAATTAGTTTTTTTCGTCTATATTTAATGCTTCATGCACGTATCGTAAGATTCGATGTAATAGCTACTATAGCATTTTTTGGGAAACTTTTTGGGAACTAAACAAGCACACAGTACCTTCCTTTTCGGTAATCTTCTACAGTTGAATTTTCTTTTACATCAAAACCCTTCCTCTTATCTAGCACGTCCTGCGGAAGAAACCTCAATAAATGGCGGGATCAGATTCAACTAGTACCGGGCTCCTTCCCGCCCCTTGACGCCTCCACTCCCATCCCATGGCGGTGCCGCTGCCGCAGCAGCCAGACCGCCCCTACCCCTCCGGCAGCCTTGTCTACTTCCACCTCCGTCTCGTGGGCCCCGCCCCCGCCCTGCTCCTCCTGCGCAGGACACATTCAATCTTAACCCTAAAATAAATCCCCAATCCAATTCATCAGTTCAGTGATTGACATGCGTTTAATTGAGGTCAAAGTTTAATTGAGCGTTTACCCCCTAAACGCAACGCTGGGCCAAAGTTTAGCGTTTAAACGGGATTAAACGAAGTTTAATAACGTTTTTTAAAACATTGGATATTAGCATAAGTGAACTTAACCCTAAGCTCAGAACTAGCTAGTGCTTTGTCATTACTGGAAAAATAATAGCCTATTTTTATGGTGCCCTATTCCGTAACTAGCTGTATCCACTGGTTTTTTCAGGCTAAACATAATGTACACGCAAAATCTGCACATAGAATGTTTATTGGCTCTGTTCAAACATCTGTAGTTGGCCTATCCCATCGGTTTCACATGCCATCAGATGCTGGCAAACAACTAAGAGCCTTATCTGCATTTCTTGGAAAATGCCGTGAGAATATGCATGGGACTACAGAAGTGATCTTGAAGAGGAACACCAATATACCTGCAGATGCTAATGCTGTGAGTGTCCTTATTGCTGATATGGATAAATTTACTGAGGAAGGTATGCATAGTTCAGTATGTGCACTTTTACTGAATGTGTGCCCAAAGGTTGTGGCAGAATCTCCTAAATTATAGGGCCCACATACACCTGTCACTGTCTAAAGACCTTTGACAACTATGCATATGTTCCCGGTAACTTAAGAAAACTGTCGGGTGTCCTCGGAGAACCCCGAATCATCCACGATTTCCGAGCAGGATCCCATTACAGAGTCATTGCAGTATTATAATATTTATTCAAATATCTACACCAGAGTAAATCAACGGAAGTCTTACAATAACATAGTTTATAAACCATTTGTTTCAAACCATACAACTAAGTTCGATAAATAATACAAACCAAAGTAGTGGAGTGGCATTATAACATATTACAGAACACACAAATAAGCTACCATGCCCAAAGGCCACACATTTACTTATCGTCATCGCACTGAACAACAGTCATGCAGCACGATCCAAAACAGATCTGCTCATGAGCCTCACCTGCAACAAGGGTCAACGAACCCTGAGTACAAAAGTACTCAACAAGATTTAACCGAAATAAGAATTAATAGAACGCAGGAATGCAGACTTAGGGATTCAAGGTATGGCTTTAGCAATAATCAAAGTTCTTTTGCGTAAAAGCTTTTTAACAAAATTCTTTATATCAACATTTAAAACTTCATAAGATCATATACAAAGCTGACACGATCCGCATTGAGATCATGAAACTTCGTATCCAACACTTTCTCAAACCATCCTCAAGTTCCAGTTATTTAAACTACGATGATGAACAGAGAGTTGAGTCTCCAAAACCGAGGAGTAACGACGATTCGAACCGATTATAACCCAGCTGGGAATTCCAGACCACACGACATATGCAAGTCCCCGACCTCCATATACCAACCTACCCTCAGGTCCTCTAAAACAAAAACGGGTCCGCGCCATCCGAGAATACAGTACTCCACCAATACAGCCTATTGCCACGTGGGTACACGCTATTCCCGCCATCTCTCCACTCCCAATGCGCGAGTAGCCATTCTCGTAATAGAATCGTCAAGTTAAGGCTTAACGGAGTATGTGGTTAGTACTACAAAATCTCATCTCACACAGTTCAACAACGGACGGACCTTAATCGACACAGGCGGAAAGAACCCGCTCACAAGACCTCCATGTCTTATGGCTCACACACACCAAGTCCGCCCGGTCTAGATTTATTACTCCACATGCTCATATCACATGATAACATAAGTAACTAAAGTTCCATTTAAAAAATTTCGCAGGTAACAGGTAATCACCCGATTTTCATCGTTCTAAGCATAGCTAAGCATAACTAGGCATATATGAATTAAAACTGGTAACAAGGCAGATATGGAAAAACAAGGTTGGTAATGCATCAATTAGGTTTTCACTTAACTCTTAATCACTTAATGCAGTAAAGAAAAGCAAAAGCGAAATCAATTTGTAAAACACAAGGTAGGTTTAAATGCATCCGAGGCTTGCCTTCGTTGACGAAAAAGTCCGGTTTCGGAGTCGCACCACAATTATCCAACCCAACCTCAACAGACGGATCAACCTCCTCAACTACTTGATTAACTACCACGTGCTCACCTTCGTTCACTACACGTAGTACAATGCCATGTTTAACATGATGCGAGATATGAGACATGATGCTTGACGATGGGTGCAAAAGTAATAACTTGAATACAACTTTTCTTCGCGGTATAGTTACAAGTCAAACTAACTAAACTTTTCCGTAATACTAACATCAATTGCCAAAGATCATTACCAACTAATGACCCAAGGACATCACTCAATCAAAAATTCAATCAAAACAAAAAATCATTAAAGGTTATTATTTGCTTTTATGAATTAATTATTTAATTAAGAATTATGAAATAAATCAACTTATTCCAATTGACCTCAAAATTTTTGTAAATATTCATCATGTGATAACTAAGTGGTAAAACAATTTTCATAATTTTTGGATAAATAAATAAGCCTAGAAAAATCATGGAAACTCGTTTATTAATTAATTGAGCAATTTTTATCACATCCAAAAAGTACTGAAAATCAGCATTTCATATTTTTTCTAAATAATACACATCACAGAGAAGTCACACAAAAATTTTCATAATTTTTGGAGCTCTAAATAAATCTACACAAAAATAATAAAAACAGACACTATTCATTTATTCCTGAAAATAGAAACATTTCATTTTGAACTACACAGTCACTGACACCCGGGTCCCACTTGTCATCTTCAACCTCCCGCGTTGACCACGACGGCGACGGCGCTGACCAACGCTTCCTCGCCGACGGTGAGTCCAACGGCGACGGCTAAGGTACCAAAACGTTCACCATGACTAGGCGCATCGATTTGCGGCACTACGGAGATTAATTACGACACGAAACAAGCCTGACGCCGGCCATGGCGGATGCGGTGGCACGGCTGCGCTACGCCGGCGACAGGAGCTCGGTAGCAGTTAAACAAAGGGTCCAGAAAGGTTTAGCATCTCACCACGAACACGCCCGAGCAGGAATTAAGGCCGGAGCAGCAATGGCGAAGCGGGGCGGCGTTCACAACGGTCACGGCGGCGAAAACAACGACGACGGCGGTGAACCGGTGACTGTGATGGATAAATCGACCAAGCAATGAGGTATTAAGCACCACGGCATCAATACGAAGCTGTAGATACACTGAGCAAGAGCCAAGACTCACCGGAGAGTGCTGGCCGCGGTGAAACGGGATCACCGGTGACTCTGCCGGCCGCGAGGAAGAAAGGTTCGCACAGCGGGTTCCCGGCGGAATCAGGCGACCCAAGCTGGCTGGATGGATGCGCAAGAAGGAGACGGAGTTGGAATTGGCTTGGCTGCGACGGTGGAGCACTACGGCGACGATGCGGGCTCGCCGGAGTAGCGGCGGTGGCGTCGCGAAAATAGAGGAAAAAGGAAGGAAGAACGGCGACGTCGTCTGAGCTTTATAGGGCGGCCAAGGAAGCAAGAGGAAGACACATCGCGGCCGTCTCCGCGCCAGCGCGAAGCCAAGGGCGGCCACAGGCGCGCCTGGAACTTCGGCGGTGTAGCTTAAGCGGCGAACACTGTTCACAGAATTTACAGAATTGCCATTCGCCAAATTTTACAAATTACTCCCAAATTTACATAACAACTCAAAAATCTCCAAAAACAAAAGTTGTTCAAAATTCAAAGTTCTACAACTTTGCTTTTATAACCATACCCAAATTCGGTCTACATTTTGAAATGCAAATTTGAATTCAAAAGGGGACACTTTAAGTACATTTCGTCTTTTCAAATTACTTCAAATTTTTCTAAACAACTTTGAAAACTCCAAAAACAAACTTTGTACAACTCAACAAACTCTACATTTTTGCTTTAAGGCTCAACCCCAAAATGTACTTCATTTTTGAAATGGGTTTTTCGGGTCAAAACTAATCGCTGGAAATCAGGGTTTTCGAAACTTCAAACCCAAACCAAAGTTTGAACTCAATTCAAACCATACAAGGCAACACTCATAACATAAATGTAAACTTGTTTTAGTGAATGCATATCAAAGTTTGCAATATGATCAAATGCTTTGCAATGCATATGATGACATGGCAGTTTTAGTATTTAAACACCCGAGGTGTTACAAAGGTGTTCTGTGTTTTATGGTTCACGTGCAAAACAACAAATTGCTACCTTTATATTTTAATTAACCATATCCCAATGCCTTTCAGATTCTGTCCAACTTGGTTTCTTGCCTATTGAGGTTGCTAAGTGGGTAGCTCCCCTCAGTGACTCAGGATTCTTCAGTTTCTCTGGATTTATCTACCCTAGAGAAGCCCTGGAGGCTGCATATGGAGTTACTAATACTAAAGTGCAGTTGCTTCTATACGTATCAAAGGTACGCCAGAAAGATTTTAAGAAACCTTTCTCATAAGTTTGTACTACTATTGTGAAACTTCTCCATGCATATCCTAAACTGTTTCAATTAAATTCAGGGTCCAGAGTTTTCTCAAATTTCAGGGCTGATAAGCAATGAGCATTTTCCACCACTCTGCTCACTAATAGCATCCTTGCAGCGGTGCCTTGGACTTTGGCAGTTAGAAGAGGTCTATAATTTTATATGATGAAATTATGTGCATCTTTGATAAAATCATGCGATTTATAAACTAAATTAACATTTTTTTAAGATGATCATATTATTTGGTGAAATCAGTGTATACTTACTCTAAAATGGATAATAGCGGTATGAAGCTGATCGACATAACTTAATACCTTTTTAGCCGTCACCATCCAGAGCAATACTTCCAATTTTCTCAGTTTGACGACCTTTGCACTGCCTTTTGCATTTGTGATATCTGAACAAAGGAGTCAAGCAACAAATATTACGTCTTCAGTTGTTTTTGCCCTCACTGCTCTGTAAGGACATGTAAAATTGGTATTTGTAGTTTCTAAGGTTCTGCTTGGAATGGAAGAGTTTCACAGGGAACCTTCAATTTACAAAGGAACCAGGAAAATTTTCTGCCTTCCAATCAGAGCCTAAAACAGAAAAAGAACTGTACATTCATCAGAATCAATTCAGCTTTTACACTTATTTCTTGTTGCTTGGTCAGTTTGGTTTCTTGATTTGCACTTTGTAAGTTGCTCCATGGCTATTTAGTAGCTTATGTCACTTCTGTCCATACCACCTGTCCAATTTACTGATATTAACCAAGTTTTTCTAATTGTAATTAACATTGATTTGAAGCAGGTATTGTCAAACATTAAGTGGCCTGAAACACTTGAGACTGATTTTATCTACAGTGAGAAAACAATCAATTTTGCTATACTGAAATAGTTACTCCATTCCAAATTATAAGTCGTTTTGCCTTTTCTAGGTTTATAGCTTTCGCTATGCATCTAGATATACACTATGTCTAGGTATGTAGCTTTTACTATGTATCTAGAAAAGCTAAAACGACTTATAATTTGGAATGGTGGGAGTATTAGATTAAGTGTTTCTTACTCAGGTTAAATTATTTTATAGGTGCTTCATCCATTGGAACTTCAATTAATCCACAGTTCATTGCAAGCTTTGCTTCTGCTGCTGGTAAACGACCCCATCAGGATTTTGACTCTCAAGAATCTGATCCGGAGGTAATTCTTAACTGTTTACTGAAGCTTACTGTATTCTAGTAAATTACTGGAATATGTATATCTTTTCTTGATGGACATACCCACTTAAGTGTTCCTTAATTTTCGTAGTGGGGTTGCTGGACAACAAACCATGAGCTGAAGAAGCCATCAATCAGTCTGTTGTTTCCAACAATTGACAGGGTGAAAAAAGGGGTTTGTGGAATTCAATTGTGCAGGAATTTGCTTTCTCTACCTGAGGTGGATTTTCTTTTGACAACTCTAAACCTTGCGAACAATTTACAAATAAGAGCTCGTGATATATTTACACTATATTCAATATGGAAAGTTCTGCGCATTGAAATAGAAAATTCATGTTTTTCTAGTCACAGAAGCAAATGCTAAAAATAGTGTAAATTTAGAGATTACCCTAGTAAGGTGTATGATATTACTTTTTGTGCCCATCTCGTTGCTTCCTTTTGGCAGAAAACATGGCAAAGACTGAGATCTACCGGTATATTTCACTATGCAATCCCACAACCATATGCCAGGATAGGGCATCCTATGCCTGTTAAGGTATAATCTTCTCAGGGAATATCATAGAATTAAACTTCCTTGGCCTTGTTTAGTTATTCATAAAATATTGAATGGTGGTTTAATACATAAGTGTCGCGGAAATGCGTATGTTGCATTGGATTTGCGGCCATACAAGAAGGGATCGAGTTCGGAACGATGATATACGTGATAGATTAGGGGTAGCACCAATTGAAGAAAAGCTTGTCCAACACCGGTTGAGATGGTTTGGACATGTCCAACGGAGACCTCCAGAGGCACCGGTGCGTAGTGGAATCCTAAGCCAGGATAGTAACGTGAAGAGAGGCAGAGGAAGACCGAAGTTGACTTGGGTAGAGGCAATAAAAGGAGACTTGAAAGGACTTAGCCTTAGATAGGAGTGCTTGGAAAACAGCTATTCACGTGCCTGAACCTTGATTGCTTCTGCTGGGTTTCAACTCTAGCCTACCCCAACTTGTTTGGGACTTAAAGGCTTTGTTGTTGTTGTTGATTGAATGGTGGTTCAAGTTAAACAATGGCAGACATGACATACACAGCGTCATTTCTCTGACTATTATGGTTGCAGACATTGACAATGGGTTAGAAACAGCTGATGATTGTATGTGTGTTGTTTAAGTGAAGATGTTAGCGAGAAAAGTCCAGTTATAGCTTTACAAAAAAAAAACTTACTTGATATTTACTCTTTCTTACTATGTCTTCAACTGCTAGCTAATGCTCTTGATATTCATCCTTTTTGGATAAGCTGTCTACCATCAACTTGGATAGACATGTCCTATGTGACTTGCTTCTGTTTACCTGATGTCATCGTTGGCTGATACAGATACTACATTAAAAAGTGATGAAATGTTCAATATTCTTGCATAAAATTCAGCTATGGTAGTGACAAATTTATCTATGTACCAGGTTGCTCAAAGACGCTTCAAGTCTTGTTTTGATGAGCATTCATTCGGCTGGACTTATTGTGGGTCTCACAATTTCAGTCCGGCTGCATGGGGACAGCCTCTATCTCCTCCCTCCAAAGCAAATCCTAGCGAAGCCAGATCAGCACCTTCTGGTCCAAGGCTGCACATTTGCAACTATGAGCTCGGCATCATACTCATTGCTTCACCACCAGGCATGCCAAAGCTTGCAAGTGAAAGTAGGCACAGGATCGAGGGCATCGTCCTGCCGTTTGTCGTCCCTCCACCGCGATATAAGGGGAGTGATAGGCCAGCGACTCGGCTGGCCATGCGAGAGGCTGTGGCTGAGGCTTGTGTTCTGCAGGGTAACGGTGTTGTAGATTTGTCAGAGGATACTGACGAAGATGTGCCAGATGAAGACGATGAGCAGGTGGTTGAGCTATCTGATTGTTCTCAACAAGAGAAGGAAGAAGAGAAGATTTATGCAGAGACGCTATGGGGGCAGGTAGATTCTTCAGAGAGCCAGGAGTGAAGATCGCGTCCAGTTCTTGATGCAGTCCCATGGATCTATTTCGCCCTGATAGTTCAATGGAGAGGGGTTATAAAGAGAGTACAGTACCAAAGGTTGATATGACAGACATGTTTGATAAGCTGTTGTTGGAAGCATCGGATTCGCATATTTCAAGCGAACTGAAGTTTGTGAAAGACTGTTGTTGTATTGTCTGACGACCAGAAAGAGAAAGGTGGCCTGAGCCACGATTCTTCATGTTTCAGATTACATTTATGGTGTGTAGATATCATGTCATGTTTTCATGTATTTCATTTTTTTAGGAATGCATCCTTGTATTGGAAAACATGATGGCTTGCTCATTCATCTTATGAGAGACAAATGTATACATGATCTGCTGAATGAATAATTACATACTGAAATGAAGATGTGTGATATTCATTTTGCAGCTTATCATTCTCCTATTTCTATCTATTACTTTATATATATGTATATTCTGACTTTTTGAGTTATAACAAACTTATAATTACTTTATTTATATACCTATTTTGTCCAGTCCCATTCGTTGCAAATAAACAGCATCCAAATATCCCAGCCGTCCAATCGGATGTGGACCAGACGTCATATTTTTCCCGTGGTTCGTCGTTTACTGGTTTCCGAGCAGAAATCCGCAGGAAAACAAGCGAGCGACGTGGCAGCGGCTAGCGGGACGCTTCACTCCAGTGGTCCAGCTCCAGGCTCCAGCAGCCCACAACCACCGGCAACGCGAAGCAAGCAGCCCCACGCTGCCCACGCGGCCACGCTCTGCGCCACCACCTGCCGGCCGTTCCCGGCTCGCCGCCGCCGTTGCGCCCTCGCGCTCACACCTCCGCCAGCTCAGGTCCATCGAGCGGAGAAACCCATGGCCCCCTCGCCGCTGCTCGTCCGGCCGCCGGCGATGGCGAATTCACCCCTTCCGCCTCCCCGATGCGCGGCCGCGGTTGCAGCGGCGCCGGCGGTTCGGACGGCTCCCGCGGCCCCATTCTCTAGGTTATCTTATGCTCCCCCTGGCCCCTGCTGACCCCTCTCACCTGGCGCATGCTCTCTCCTCGTTTCCTGCAAAAATTCTTGGTGGCATGACATGGTTTCTCTGGATCGCGCAGGCTCCGTACCAAGTGTAGGTTCGCCGCGTCGGATGTGAGAGAAGACTACTCATCCACTCCGATAGATATTGTCGCTGATGTGAAGACGGAGAAGGCATGGGTTTCCGCAGCTCAAGTTCTCTAACATTCAGCTTTTGTTAGGTTATTAAGCCGATTTCCCCCCACCATTCTGAACTGTTTCTTGGCGGTTGCAGATTGTGGTGTTGGGAGGAAGTGGATTCGTTGGCTCTGCGATCTGCAAAGCTGCTGTCTCTAAAGGCATTGAGGTTGTGAGCTTCAGCAGGTACTTCTTTTGCTCTTCCCTGTGATGAACATTTCTGTGATGTATATATCCTGTAGAAGCAAATAGGTGATATATAAATCAATTCACTATGCAGCAGTTGCAACTTTCACTATTTTCTAGCATAATTTAAGTTTAGGTTCTTCATCTATTGATTTCTTTAGCAGCCCCTTTATTTTACTAAATTGGGTCAATAATCTCTGTTTTTGTGGTAATGAAAAATGAGAGGTGGATACAGTGTTCTGGGTACCAAACCTGCATTATGTAGAAATTTACCCATTCTGCTTGATTGTGTGTTGATGGGCAGGTCAGGAAGACCATCTTACTCTGATCCCTGGGTTGATCAAGTCAATTGGCTAGCAGGTACTCTTATAGTATGTCATTATAGGAGTTTGATTATTAGATTTTACTCCTCATGTTAGTTAACTGCTTTACTTCCCCAACCTGTTGTGTCTAGTGTGTTAATGTTGATGGTTTGTCTCCCAAATTATACCTTTATCAAGTGATTGAGGATACAACTGAATGGAGAATGAGAATAATAAGATTCATATCCAGAGTAATAGCTGTTCTTTAAGAAATGTATTATGTATGATCCATGTTGTACTTGTCTTCGACAAACAAAATTTTGTATTGACATCATTCTGTCATGCTGTATTATGTATGATCCCTGTTGTACTTGTAGTCAACAAACAAAATTTTGTATTGTCATCATTCTGTCATGCTTTGTTTGGGATATTCAAATAAACTGTACAAAGGAATTTATTTAAGTTTATACAACATTCTATTGATGTCCTATTGCTTCTGAGTTCTGAGATAAGACATATATGCATTGACATACATTGATTATTGCAAAATAATGTAACCCTGTACATAAGACTGTTTCTTACTTTAGCCTTGCTCACTGGCTTACTGCATGGCTCTTCATTCATAAAAAACTGCTTTAACAAAGTACAACAGAGAATAAACTGGATTTCCTGTTGGCACCTTGTTCCTGCAAATATGTGGAAGGCCCACATGGCGATAATCTACTTTCAAGAATCAAGAGTCTGCGATTTACATGTTGTCTGGCACTCTAATATTCAGTTAAGCACCTTAATGTGATGTAGGAGATGTTTTCTATGCAAGATGGGATGATGTATTGGTTGGGGCTACTGCTGTTGTGTCTACCCTTGGAGGGTTTGGCAATGAAGAACAAATGAAAAGGATAAATGGTGAGGCAAATACCATAGCAGTAAACGCTGCAAAAGAATATGGTAAGTGTTACGTAGTGCACTACAACATTGATGCCATTTTGTATGCACTATGCTCTATAGACAAATTTTCATGAGATTGATGTGACTGAACTAAGATTGTTCAAATCAAACTATAGTAGTCTGTAACTTCTCAAGTGTCAGGTACATCTAGTGTAACGACAAAGTTTTTAGTTGTAGATTTTTTGTTAGAGAACTTGCTTTCTGGATTTAATCTTCTCAAGGAATGACATCAAAGAGAAAGAGGTGGATTGTTGTTTTACCATATCCTTTCCTTTTGGATTGAAATAAATATATTCATGGGTTCATTTGCAGGAGTCCCGAAGTTCATTTTAATCTCTGTACATGATTACAATCTTCCATCCTTTCTTCTTACCTCGGGTTACTTCACTGGTAAGAGAAAGGCGGAATCTGAAGTCCTTTCCAAATACCCAGCCTCAGGTTAGAAATACTTCACACCATTTATCGTCAGGTTTTTCTCTCGAATTTATATATTCTTGCCGTATATTGGACCTGCTTTTCTTTTACAGGTGTTGTGTTGAGGCCAGGCTTCATTTATGGTAAAAGGAAAGTAAATGGCTTTGAGGTACCGCTCGACGCTGTTGGACAACCATTGGAGAGGTTGCTCTCCTCTGTTGAAAATTTCACCAAACCATTGAGCTCACTGCCTGCCTCTGACCTAATCCTTGCACCCCCTGTGAGCGTGGACGATGTTGCCTACGCTGTAATCAACGGAGTCATAGATGACAGCTTCTTTGGGGTGTTCACCATTGAACAAATCAAGGAAGCTGCAGCCAAGGTAAGAGTGTGAATCTGTGGTCTTGTTCCCCGGTCTCTGAATGTATTATAGGTGGAAAGTTCGTAAACTCAGCAGTAACTCATGATCCTTGTGTTCTTTCTTTCTTTCTCCCTGAATCTTTGACCATAGTCAATAGTTCAAAAGTCAGTGCAGCATTTTTTTTTCTGCTGGAATTTTCTAGCACTTGAGACTTAAGAGCTAACAAAACTCCGTATGTAGTACCGTGGGTCACATAATTGTTACGTTGGTTCACAATCTTGCTGGAGGTGAGCGGCATGAGCTCACAGTCTTGTGAATGTGACATTAGACCCATTTTCAACAACCTGCACTTCGAACCATGTTGATGTTTTCACCAGATGGTTTCCCACAAAATGTTTTAAGTGTCAATCATGTGTATCATTGATCAGATCAACTCAACTAAAAAAGACGCTATTCACAAAAGAACGACCCTATGTTCACGTGAATCCAACATGCCAAGTAATTGACTTAGACAATTAGACATGATGGGGAATGCGGATCCCGGCCTGCGTGTATCATTTATTAAGGCTCTTTTGCCCTTCCTCCAGCCCGGCCAGCGGCCATGATGGGGAACAGATGTTCATGCAGTGCAAATCTTTAGTGGCAATCGGCAGCAGCTGTCCTGCTGATCGACCTGCCAGGTCAAATGGGTGGAGAATCGAGGGCTACCCTACCTCATGACACATTGATACATCACACATGCACCGGTCGTTGACTCGCTGGCGATGAGACTTCAGGCAGTGCAGGGCTGCAGGCGTTGCCACCGAGCGGCATCATGGCAAATCCGAGCGATGAGCAGCACTGCAGCAGGTAGGTTTTCTATGGGCTGAATGGCTAATGCATTCTATAGGGAAAGTGAACGTGAAACACTGGGCAGTTCTCGACAACGTCGTTGAAACTGAATGAAAGATTTGCTGTGACCATGACAGTGGAACAGAGCAGAACAGCTTCAGTTCACATGATCATGCCAACGGCAGGCAGATAAAGGGCGACAGCACATCTGCGACTCATGAAGCATTTCAAAATTTCAAGTTTTCAACCTGGTGCATACACGGGCCAATCACGGCAGATACGAACGCAGTACTAGTAACAGGAGCACTACTTTCACCACCACAGAAACTCCACCACGTTTATTCGGTTGGACGGACGACATGCCACGTCTGACCGACCACTCTCGCGTCGCGCCTACTACTAGCTAGTACGGCTTGAGGCAGTCGTAGAGGCGGCGATGCTCCGACGGCCAACCAACAGCAGCCTCCCCCGCCGCTGCTGCGGCCGGCGACTGCAGCGCGCTCGCAGTTGGGGATCTGACGCTGGACGGCGACGCGCCGGTTGGCGTCAGGCACTGAGCCGGCGCCCTCGGGCTCTCCCGGCTTGCCAGCAGCGCCTGCCGGGACGCGGCGTCGGGGTTGCCCTCCACCCGCAGCATCTGCAGCTGCCGCCGCCTCTGCTCCCTCCTCACCTCGCTGCGTTTGTTCACGTAGTCCTCGTGGATGAACACCTCCATCCTCTTCTCGATCTCACTACCACACAGCCCACTGTGAATTACTACTGCTGCTGCACACTATCATTCATCAAACTATCCTATCCAAGATCCTAACTGCAACACAAGCACAGAGAGGAGGAAGAGGGAGTGCTGCGGTGAACTGCACTTGTATGTATAGCGATTCATCCAGATCCAAGGTGTTGTTAACCATGGAGGTCACTGTCAGTCGCTTTTGCCTTTAACCAATTTCACAAGGCAGCTGCCATTAGTCCATGCCAAGTGTGAAGTCCACAATGGCGCAAAAATAAAATGCACGCCATTTTTTTACCAAATTACCAAAAGGTCCAGTGCTACATTGCTTGCCTGGCTGCTTCTGGAAAAATAAGAGAGGCCTTTCTAATGCCATTTCCCATGTCTCTCTTCCTCGGTCACATCTACCAGGACGTCGCTGTCATTGATGCACAAAAAAAAACCCCGCTAGAATTGGAGGATTAGTGGCTGGCGTACTTTGGCAGAGCAAGACAGCGGTGTATTCCAGGTTAGACTCGGCCGCGGGACGCTGTCCCTATCCACGCTCCACGGGGGATTTTCAGTGCAGAAGATTGGGAGATGGTTGCCTGCTCGCAGCGGCATGGAATTGTGGACAGAAAGCACAAAGGAGCTAGAGGTCTGTGGTATGTGCGCTTAGATTCATCACGCGCCACATAATATCTTCGAATTAGTGGCTGGTGATATCAGCAAATCCTCTGCACTGGACTGGTTTTTGCATGGTTTCCAAATTCTAGTCCACATGGACCACATCTCAAATGTTTTCCCTTTTATTTTTGGAAATATAAACCTTTGACAATATTGTCGGACTAGAAAACCATAGACTTCAATTCAAGCAAGTTCATACCATGAGTCATAAATTTACGATTGATGACAGAAACAACAAAAATACTTAGCAGAGAACGATTGGCAGACGGAAACTGAAACGATCTACCACTCTGCTCATGGACTCATTAGCTCAAGTACGAGCCTCCATGTTTGATTCATGTACAAAAGTAGGTCAAATCCATGTGCACCTTGTGATTGAACAAAAGGTTTTGTTCAATTCCCAAATTTCAAAACAATATATACATTTTTATTCGGTTTATTGACTACCACACCATTCTCAACAAAAAAAAAAACCTTGTAATTTGAAACAGACACGTATGCAAACACCCACAAAAATTTACCAGCTGATAGCCCGTCTCTCTAGCTCTCCATTCTTTCACAAGGAAGTTGATGCAGTCATCGTCCTCTGTGCATTTCCAAGGATGATAACAATGACAGTCACATCATCGTGGTACTTTCTCCTACTCCCAACAGGTATCCTCATCAATTCTTCGGCTGTTAAAGCTGGGAAAATAGAAAGAAAGCGATTAGGAGTTGCTGAGTTAGCATTGATGCTGGTTGATCCGAAATGATTTCAAAGATGCTGACTACAATGGGGAAAAATGATACAAAACTATATCAAACAAATCCTGATGCTTCTAATATAATATGGAAAACGAATTGTGCAGATGACTCATAGATTAATGATCCGCAAGGCAATAGCCCTCTTAACTGTTTGATATTTCAATAAAAAAAAATTCAAAATATAATTTGGAGGGTACCTGCTTCCTTGGCTGCTTTGAGTATAAGTTGCTCGATGAGGTATTTTGCAGGATCCCCCATTGGATTATCATGCATAAATTGATAAACCAACCGAACAACTTCATCATTACTGAAGAAATCAAATAAGCCATCACTACCAAGCACAGCGAACAAGTCATCATCTGTAACTTTGTGACTCAATGTGTGTGGATTTGTGTAAACATATGGAGGGCTGCTCAGATCACGGACTCGTAAAATACCCATCAGTGCATCATTGAACTTCCTCTGCAAATTGATCAAAAAACAATGGTATTAATTACAACTGTAACAATGATACAAATTTTATTCACTTATCCAAGAATAATATGTCACCTGCTTTAGATAGCCAACTCCAAAGGCACGAGTAACCTTCAGCTTTCCTTTTATTTTGTTACCCCTGACAACTGAAGAATCGTCGGGATGATCAGCTAAAAGTCTTTGGTACTCCAAAGGATTTTCAAGTGAGTGGGTCTCTGTCAGCTGAGTAGTCTTCAAAGCACCATTTTCTACATATGGCATGGAAGCAAGCACAGCTCTACTGTCCCCCATATTTAAGATGCACAGATCTGTTCCATGAAGAAGAAGAACCAGAACACAAGACCCTACTGAAACTAAATCTGGTCTATCATCCATCTCTTGTTCAACCATGCATAAAAAGTCATTCTCAGCTTGCTCAACAGCAGTAGAAAGGCAATTCAGCACACCAGCTCGAAATGTTTCAGAAAATTTTATGTCTTCATTTTCTGAATTTCTCATGGCTAGTGTTAACTCGCTTTTAAGACCATTGAGAGAGCTTTCTGATGAATTGTATAAACCATTTTGTTGCTTTATCCGATTCTCCAGCAGGTACAAGTAATATACTATGTTATCATATAGAGTTACCGCAAGAAAATCAGCTGCATCCCTCCCATTAAACCCATCATATATTCCACAAATCAGCCATCCATTTTTTCTCTGAGCACACAGCTTGGACTCTATCCTCTCCAGCAGCTCCGCCAGCCATTTTCACCTCTGTATTAGTCAGAAAATTGGATGATATGGTTGTTGGGGCACTGGACCTCCAAAGATTTTTACTGATCTCAAATATAGAGCTCTCAGTTGACACAGGGCTGCCTTGTGAGGTGGAGAATGAGTCCAATCTTGACATTGATGGAGAAGAAACAATTTTTCTAAAGGCATTTGGAGAATCTAGTTCTGGTAAAATTTCTTCACCAATAAGACCATTGCAAATATTTGTATTTGCCAGTGTAAAATTTGCACTAATAGCAGCACCAGATAAACAAGTAAATGAGCCATTTCGTGGCCCTATCATGGTATTAGTCCCAAATATGTTCTTAGGAGAAATGCCATTCCCATGATCATTTTCAGGAGAAAAGCTCTGATAAGAATCACAATGGTATCCAAAGCTCACATTGAGATTGCTACAACTCCTGACAAGCATATCTTCTTCCTCAGAGCTGATGTTGTGATCGCTAGTGTCCTTATAAAACAGTTCTACGTCCACCATGTTTTTCTACAACAGTATAACACCAGTGCAACGTAATACTGCTGGAACACTTTGTTTTCTATAGGTTCCAATGCTATTCAAATGCCATGCTAAATACTGCTCCCTTTATACTTGAACGGAAATGCAAACCAAACCTGCAATACTAAGCACAAAGTATTTCAGAAAATATTACCTAACTAATGATCCGAATACACCTCATTGCTTGTAAAAGAACAAAAAAGGGTCATGTGCTATTTGATAAGCTAATAGCAAGGTGATTGTAAATTAGTATGTTCCAGCCTACTAAATCTGTAATCTGTGCACAAGAATTGCAAAGGATGGCAGCTCAACAAGGCAGAGGGCTGCTTCTCTAGTTCTGGTCATAGTATGGTTGTGATTGCAGTACAATTGATCCTCTGTTTTAATATAAGTATATATGACAATTCACAGGGTTCAAATCCGGGTGATCATCTATTTAGATGCTTGTGAGTTTAGTGGTCGTGTGCATCCCTAGCCAGTGCAGAGGCTAGAAGTTGACTCCCTTCATCTAAATAATGAAGTATTCCTTCCTGCTAACATGGTACTACCTACATCCCTAAAAGAATGCAATTTTAGGTTTGAACCAAGTTTAAGGCCAATAGTATCAACATTTATTACTTCAAATAGATATAATATGAAAATATATTCCATGATGTATCTAATGTTAATCATTTGGCATCGTAAATATTAATATTTTTTTGTATAAATTTTGCTAAATTTGAGATGAATTGATTAAAAAGAAAACTAGAACTGCATTCTTTATAGGATGGAGTAAGTAAGTTTGTTTGACTATTTTTCCACCTGGATTTAAGAGCGCGGAAATAACATATTAGGTGCCAATCGCCATTAATAAAATAAGAGAACTCAAGTTTGACTTGTGCAGGCTGTAATATTCGCCTGTTCCCGCATAAAAAAAATTATATGAGGAAATCAAAGGCCACCAGGCTACAGCCTCCTCCACCTTGAATTGTACAAACCTACCCTCTTTAGTTCTTATCAAAAGTGGATACACCGGTTCTAAACTCTGACAGTACTTGCTGCTAAGCAAGCAGATATGACCCACCGGACACAGTTTGCGAAGAAATATGACTGAGTTCTACAAGATCCAAATACAACAACTGAAGAAAAGAAGGAAAATGATAGCCTCCCAATCAAGAACAACATCGTTCGGAGTCAGAGCGTAGAGAGTTGTACTCTTGAGCAAGACATGTAGGGGAACAGAGAGAACACAATAACCTGAAGTGAGAAGGGGTTGCTTCGCATACGACCGGAGCACACGGCAGCAGCTAAATGAACTTCACCGCAGCGGCTGTGGCCAGTGTTCCCACAGAAACTAACCTTCTTCTTGGCGTTCACCTACGCAGCAGCACAACAACACAAGAGAACGGAACACACATGAGAAGAACGATCAGACAGACAGGCAAAAGCAACCAGAGGCACAGAGACGTACAGATGCATCCATCTAAGTTCAGAGAGATGGGAACCGGGCCAGGCGACGCAGCCCCTGATCTCCTCCCCCCATTCCTGAGCCCAACCCCGGCCCCAAGCGCGCAGCAAGGCAGGAGACGCGGGCAATTTGCGTCAGGAAAAGCGCCGGCGCCGCCCGTTCTTGAAAATGCCCTATCGCAGCAGAACAGAACAGAACACGAATCAAGAATCAGCATACCGCGCGCAAGTCGAGTGAGATTATAGTTGCAGTTGCGTGTACAACTACATACGCATCTACAGAACGCGGACCAAGGGAGGAGAGGGGAGGATTCGCACGCTCACCTCTCCGCCAATGACCAACACCGAGCCGCAATCCGGGAATAGCCGAGCAAGTCGAGGCGGAGTGGCAGGAAGAGACAGCCGCGGTGCGGTGCGGTGCGGTGCAGTGGAGATGGGGGACGGAAATTTGGTGGAAGGTGTGGGCTGCGGCGAATATATTGCGGGATTGGGGTTGGGGGTGGTGGCCTGGTGAGGGAGAGGGAGAGGGAGAGAGAGGGAAGCAACAGACTCACCTGGTTTTTCTTCTTGTTTGGATTTTTTTAGGTTAGATCTGACTGCTTCCTGCCTATGATCTGATTGGATCTACCAAATCTAACCATGGCCATGTTGCGTAGCTATGGTACACTATTTTTCTCTTTCAGCAAATTAGTCATACAAATCAGCACAATCGGCTTATAGACTAGCCGAAGAAGGCCCATGTCACTAGCCACCACGATAATGACACTGTGGCTTGTGCTTCGCCCTTTTGTGCGGCCGGAGTAGAAACTAGGGTAAGATGAGTAGATTTACCCATGATTGGACCCAGAAACCATTTCAGCTTATCAAGATTATACAAATTAGTGAACTATTCCAACTGAGAATCATTTTAGGGACTCAGTCCAAAGAAACCGAACGAGCCCTAAAGCGTGTTTGCGTAGGAAATGGCGCCCGCCGTGCGTTTATCCCTAGCGGCTGGTGCTCGCGTGGGAGGTAGGGCCTGGCACTTTGAAACCTGAACAAAAAAAAAGTTTGAATCAGACCTGAATCAAACCAAAATATCGGTTTCTCCGTTTCATTCAAGTTCGGTTTTAATACTTGAGAAGAAGCTCAGTGACAGAGCTAGGAGCAACTTTTATGAGGGATCAATTTGCCTAATGCTATACCAATTAGTCACTAATCACAAATTTGATGCTAATTAATACCTAAAAACACAGCAAAATATATCAAGTAGACTCTATTAAATACAAGTTATAATTTTAATAGTCACTTCTAGTATACTATATAGGCTATATAGCAAATAGCTATTTGGATTAATATGAAAATAACTGGAAGAAAAATAGCAATTGAATATTGATTATTAGCCTACAGCTACTACTCAAGCTGCAATAACGGGGGAGGGGGGCAAGGCTCAGGTTGGCCTAACCTTATCTCCACCGGTGTATCGATTATCGGCTTCTACTTCGATTTCCTTAATCCAATCGGGAAACCAAGAAACGGATCGCATTTAGCACCGAGAACAAGATTCCTCTACAGATTGCACTCCGTAGCGCACAGTAGCAGCCCCAAGATATCACCATACATAAGTGATAGTCGTCGGCATCCCCCTAGACGCCATAGCCCACAATACACATTCCACTCCTTGTCCAACCCTTTCCCTAACCCTATCACCTCATGTCCTCCTTGCCAACGACGACGACAGTCGCAGTAGTGGGCCACGGATGGCTCGATCCACGTCACCCCGTCCGTATGCATACTAGACACTAATGTTGTTGTATGGGTGTCTGCGTGATCAGTGTAGGTTCTGAAGTTGATGTTGATATTCTTTGACATCCTCTCTACCAGGCTAGCAAAATGTCTTTTCATCCTTAAATAGTTTTTTGAATTTTCAACTTGTATATGGGTTGAACCGAAAAACAAACCAAACCTACACCAAACTTGTCAGTTTTTAATTTTGTAACTAACCGATTGACTCTTGATTTCTGAGAACCGAAGCTTACGAAAACCAAACAATAAACTGGACTAATTTTTCCATTTGAATCAATTGCCCACTCCTAGTTGGAGCTATGATCAAGTAGATCTCACGGCACGGGTTGACCATTGTGCCATCAAACTACCCAACATGCACAATTTTTTGGTTGTTATTCCTAGCATCTAAACCTAACATTTTGGCATAGGGGGCTGAATAGCATGGTATCTCACGCGAGTGGCACAACATGGTGGTTCCAACTCCGATGGCGGCCCCATGGTCAGATCTGGTTTCCTCGAGTGCAAATCTGATGTGATGTTGAGCTTAGGCTGCGACCATAGGCACATGCTGGCAACGTGTGTGGGTTGAAGACGTGGCAATGAAATCATTTGGTATATGTAGGTTTTGGAGTTGATATCATTAGCTTCAATTTTGTATTTTTTTAGTTCCAAATTATAATTCATCCTGTAGCAGACATACATTATTCTAGATTTATAGGTTTTACTATGTATATCTAAAAAATCCAGAACGACTTATAATTTGAAACAAAGGAGTAGCATTCTACGGAAAGATAAAAGAAAAAAAATTGAAAACAAAATTTATGCTTTTTGTACCTGTTGAGGCCAAAACAACTACTCCCTCTGTCCCAATAAAAGTGATGTTTTAGCATTCAAAACCGTTTAAATGTCGTTTTAGGGTGCAGGTCCTATTCTCCACCGTAGCCTGCAGCCAACTGCACCATGCATGGGAAAACGCAGCGCGAGAGATAGAAATGCTGTGTCCACCGTACTAGAGTAGGGATAGGTGGTACCCGTGTCCGTTCCTACAACGACTATGGCCCAAACACTGTTTCGACTGATTTATTGCGAAAAAAAAATACTCTTCCAGTTAAAAAAAAAGCTGAAAAATATGGATTTTAAGAAAAGTGAACCGGGCCTATAATTCTGGGACGGAGGTAGACACCGGAACTTCTACTCTACGGGCAACTCCTCCGCGGTGGCCACGTATAGTCCGAACCACTGTCACTTTTCAGTGGGAGACGCTGTTTCTGATAACGTTGCCGATAAGCCAGCAAAGACACACTGTAGCACTCCGTGCTCAACACACGCCGGTTGGTGGTACTGATACATCAGCGTTCTTTCATGATCTCCGTGGACGTGGATATATATATATATATATATATATATATATATATATATATATATATATATATATATATATATATATACCAGTGCAGTCCAAACGATGCATGCAGCACAAATTCTCAGCATCAAGTACACATACAGTACAGTGCACAGCATCAGCGGCAGCGGCCGGCTCGATCGTGGTCAGCGCAGCCGCAGGCACATGGTCTCGATCCGGAGTCCGGACATGCACGTACTACGCTGGTTGCAAACCCGGCCCTTCTGGCTCTTTTTTTTTTTTGAAAATTCCCCTTTTGGCTCTTTTACCCTCGTCGCAGAGATTTTATGCGTCGATCGCATTCGTCTCCCCGCGCGCACTTTCCATCGAAGCGGACCGCCAGCTTCTGCTCGCTCGTCGGCGTTAGATTTTCTGAACAGGAGCAGGAATTGTGGCGGCCATTGACCAACGGGGCGAAGAAGCGCGACAGGGACGCGAGAGCGCGACCCAGGCCGGCTCCTCCCAAATCAAATCGCCGCGTCGCTTTCGGTTCCGGGGCCCGTACACGCATTGGATCGTGCGCCGGCATCCATCGACTGGGCGGGTGGTGTGTTTGGTGGTGATGGCTGCCGCGCGACAGGGACCGCGGAATTAATTACCCGTGCTGTGCGCGGCTACCCGTTCTGCGCCGCCAAAGGTCAACAAAACCGATCGATCGATGGAGCAACGGCGCCGGCGGATGGGGATCGAGCCTCCAGCGCGGTGGTCTCTCTGGACGAGCCTGCAGCATCTTTCTGTCGGCCTGCCTTTCGTTGCTCTCTCATATATGCATGCATGAAGGAGTTGCTTGTGGAGATCTCGTGGATCGCGACGACGTGTGTGCTGCATCGTCACACGCACCTCCTCCGGCTCCAAGCTTCACATGAATACTTTTGGATTTTTCGCACTATTCCACACGGTTCTAGCGTGACTGTTTCCTCGAAGGTCGAAGCCATTGTTTTTTTTTTTTTTGCATACGCAAAATTTTGCCACAAAATCTTTACGCGAACTTCTCGCGTAGTTCAGCTGATTAGGAGTTCACGTAGCTCAGCTAATTAGGTTTCTTATGGTGGAATCAGCACACCTGCATTTAAGTTATCAACTTGTATTTTTTTAAAAAAATTTATTTCAAGATTTAACGGTACATGTGAAAATATGTGTTTGTACTATGTTTCGGAAAAGAGAAAACTGTTACACACCAAACATTTTAAGCATGAGTTCCTAATTTTATGAGAGAGCTATGTTTTAAAAGTTTGAGAATAAATTTAGGGTCTATAATAACTTGATCATCTTTGCTCTATCTGATATGTCCATATGACCATATTCTAACACATACTCTTATAGATACTTCAATATAACTTTGTCTAGTTGAATAAACTTTAATTACCAATTACACCATATTTTGTCATCCATATTTAAGTTTTTTCCAATGCATCACACCTCGATTTGCGTTTGACATATGATTAATCGAAACTCTTTACTTTTGCATATATGATCATCTCTTCCTATGTATACATGGCGTGAATAGTGACATACGTCATGCATGTGTTGAGAATTTGAGATAGTTTTTCTATGTCAACATGGCAAGAAGTAGATAATTTAGAAGGATACACTACAAAAAAACTTGGGATATCTTTTTAGTAATGAAAAATGCTGGTAATATATATGCTAATTAATATATTACTTAACGTTATTTTAACAATGGTGGAGGTGGGTAATTTAATTAGTTTAAGGTTTACTTTATATTAGGTTTAGATGATGGGTTGCTCTATGTTATTTTTTAATAATGACGAAGATAACAAATTTAGATTAAAATATTTCTAAGAATAACAAGACAAAGATCATGAGGTTACTTTGAGTTATTTCTCATAATATCACAGGGGTAATTTTTTAGAAACAAAATAAATTCAGTGACTAGCATTGCCTGACTGCCTTTAATTATGATTTGTTATTGTTCTTGTGTGAATATTTAGTTTTATATTTTTTTCTTGTCGTTAATTAAAGATTAGGATCTGTGTTTGGTTTACCTTTCTCTTTTTTTTTCTTGCTCGTCACCACGTCTGATATATATTTGAGAGGTGCTCTCCGCGCTGAGGATTAATACGAAAGACCAGTAGGATAAGCTACGAGGTTACAACAAAGTAGATATATCACCGCCCGGGGTCTACTTTTTCAACTTGCTGTAATAAGTTATAAAGATTCATACAAGAATCGTCATAGCAGCTGGCCACTATTGGTAACTAAAGATGGTCATGACACAGCCACCCAAATTTTTATTTACCAAATACAGTACCAGTGTTTTTCATGATCAATAATGCAGCTGACACATGCTACAGCGCCAAAAACAGTGTCAAGTGGGCGTGGGGTCTACGATAATTTTGTTTGTTTTGTTTTCACCAGCTCCTCATGTTGGCTTGACAGTTGTCCATTGGGGGCATCCAAAGGACAGGAGATAGATATGCGATACATACATCTGGTAACTCAGGGAGCAAAGGTCAC